ACTAATTATATATTAATATATAAATATTAACTAATAGGTTTTTAAACAGGGGTCTGGGGACCCCCAGGGGGGCGCAAGCAAGTACAAGGGTCAAAGGAGCTGAAGAAAACTGTGAAAAAATGTAAAAATAAATAAATAATAAAAAATAAGATTGAACTAATTAAATAAATAAATTTGATAAAGAAAATATAAAGTAATAAAATATATCAAAATATCTATTTTATTTATTTTTATATGATAATTATAATGACATATACAACACCTAACTGTACTGTATAGTGAGTAGAACAAAAAAGTAATAAAAACTAAATATTTTCCAAATAATATTTTACACATTTATATTATTAATTTTCACAGTATCAATTGGGTCTTTATACATAAAAATACATAGCTTTTATACAGTACATCCTTAATATATTTTAGGATGAGGGTCCCTTGCACAAGGATAATTATATTTGGGGATCAGTGGGGATCTAAAAGACTGAAAACCCCTGAACTAAAGCTATAGCAAATGCTATTTAAGACAACTGTAATGGAGTATCATTACTGATATCCTACATTTCTATCATTTCTTATGTTTAAGTACCAAGATTGTGGTTGTACCTTGATGGCCAAATCCACTTGACCCAAGGCGATGTGTGTCGACGCGACCACAAACATAGTGCGACAGTTGTGTTCAGTGATCTGGTTGAGTTTAGTGAGAGCGCCCTGCCAGTCCCGGCTGTCTATTGCCTGTACGGCCTCATCCCACAGCCTGATCAACTCTATGTACAGCATGGCCCTCTAGAACAAAAAGAATAGGATCAAATGTTATTTTTTATATCGCTATATTAATTAAAATAGGCATTAATGGATTAATAGTACCAAGCTTTACTGAGAAAACAGGAACAAAAATAATCTGACAGCTGCCTACAAGTAGGCCTACAGGTGAGACTAAACAGGTTGTTTTAAGACAATAAAATCATAAAAGCAAAACCCAATACTAGTACAATGGCCGATACTTACCACTGCAAAGAAACCAACAAGAGATAAGTCTGGAACTTGAATCGTTTTCTAGAAGTGATCGATGATAAATAAGAGTGCTGCTCCTGAACAGCTGTAAGCCAGAACTCATAGTTGACTCACAAGGAAGTGATATTTGTAGTGTGACACACAGTTGTGGTTCCCGCCCTCTTTCCATGCCATCAGGAAGTCCTGCATTCCAAAAAGTGAGAGAGAGAGAGAGAGAGAGAGAGAGAGAGAGAGAGAGAGAGAGAGAGAGAGAGAGAGAGAGAGAGAGAGAGAGAGAGAGAGAGAGAGAGAGAGACTTGTTGAGCAGCAGGTAGGGCACATACACAATGGTTCAATTAAACAATGAGCTGTTGAGTAAGTCAAGGAAATAGAAAGACACTGTGCACACTAACACACTTATCTTCAGAACCACATTAAAGTTGGTCTGGCCAAGAGTTACACTACCAGAAATCAGAAAGGTTTTTTTTATCTATAGGGAAGCAGTCAAGAAAAAGACTGGAGGGAGGAAATTTTCTATATTACCTTTTTTTTTTCACAGCAAGTTTACTGTTTTAGATTTTCCACCAAACACACGAGGCCTTAAGGTTATAATTACATTTATTTCCACAGTATCTTCAGAAATAAATAAATAAAATAAACATTTGCTTTCTAAACGGAGACACATTATGTGGATGAATTGGGGACGCATTATGTGGTTTTGAGTTTATTATTTTCACATATTAATTTAAGATAGCCTGAGATACATGTGAAATATCTAGGAATGTGCAAATCTACTTTCATTTAACCTCCAGTGTTATCTGCATGTGTAAATGGCGCTATAACCGATATTTTTGTAAATAATCCATCAAGGGCTCCTCCAACGCTCTGTATTTAAAACAACATCTGCAATCATCTTAAATAAGGTGCAGTCCTCGCTTAATGGTTAAAGAGTCAGACTTGTAACCCGAAGGTTGCCGGTTCGATTCTCAATACCGGCAGGGAAAATGTAGAAAAAGAACTGTGCTTTCTTCCACCCTCAATACCCATGACTGAGGTGCCCTTCAGCAAGGCTCCTAACCCCTAATCTCTACCCAGGCGCCGCAGCAAAATGGCTGCCCACGGTTTGCAGTGTGTGTGTCTTCACTACTCACTGCTCCTAATGTAGGCCTATGCAGGGGCGTAGCAGCCATTATACAAGTGGGGGGGACAAAATGGTGTGGTGATGTGACCCAAAGGTCAGTCCTTCCAGAAAAATGCGGAGTTTTTTTGTGATTGTTGCGGGCAAAAATCCTTGATTATGCGGCGATGGAATATGCAGGATATTTGCAATTTTATGTGATGAAATTGCGGGAACTTGCAAAAACTGCGGTTTGATGAAAAAGAGAAAAACTGTTCTCACTACTACTACCTTAATGTTAAGAGTCATTTCTTATTACTTCCTATGATAAGCAAACATACTACATCACAGAAAGTGCTGGAATATTTCATCTAGTTTTATTTTTTGTTTTATAAACTTACAAAACATTGATGAGTCAAACAAGTTCTGTAGCTTTACAAAAGGAATATGCTACAACTTCTGTAAAAATGAATAAATAAAATATGAAAAAAATGTTTCCTGTTTTACAGCTTTTCAATGATGTTCATGTCGCGTAATTACATCACTTCATAATGTTCCCATGGCAACAGGGGTAAATGGCTGCTCTTGTGTGAAGTAAACGCAACATTTTTCAATTTTCTGCTAAGATATGTGACTTTTTTTGCAACAAAAATGCGGGGATTATGAAATCATGCAAGCCCCACATATTTTGCGTGGAAATCGTCAATTTATGCGACAAAAGTGCGGCGTATTTGAAAAAATGCCCCCGCATAAATATGCAGACTTTGGCTGATTATGCATTGAATCATGCGATCGCATAATCGCGTTTTTCTGGAGGGACTGAAAGGTGATGTTCATAATAATAAATTCTAGATGGAATAGCAATTGGCATTTTACAGCACCCTAGTGCCAATTTTGGGAACATGCCATGATAGCTTAACAACCTATTTTTGTGAAATCATACTCGAAATAAAAAAAATACTGCAGGACTTGGGACTTTCAGACCACTGTGGACATCTATACTTTATTTTTTATGAAATAATGATATTTTATGATATTTATTATATTTCAGTTAAACTACACTTGAACAACTTGTATCTTACTTAACAGTTGGACCAAAAAAAAGTGTTCAATGAGTAGGCTATACAGATTACATCTAGCCTACAGTAATTTTATACAACAGACATTTTATAAAAATATATCAATAAAACCTAATCAATGTATTCGGTATTGGACATCAATTTAACATTGACATTAGATGTTGAATTTACATTGAATTTTGGTCACCCGACGTCGCAACCAAAATTTAACCAAATATCAACGTCTTTTGACGTGTGCCTGCTGGGAATAATCTGTTATGTCTCATTTAACAGACTATAGACGCTTTTATCCAAAGCAACAAGTAGGAGAGCATTTACACACACTCGGCACAATCCGGCGCGACGTGACGAGGTCCATACGGGTTCTGTTGTCTTACACGTCTTACTGCGTTACAGTAGGTTAAATCATAACAAGGAAACTTTACGTGTGATTCATGTCATCGCGTCGCGACATACTGTAACACATTATACTTACAGTGTGTGTTTGAAAAAAAATAATGTAATCGTCCTCTGCTTTTTTTCTGGGGTGCATTAGACGGCCAAACAGGAAAGCGACTAAACGAACACGAAAATTCGCAAGAGCAACAAGAGATTTGAAGCTCATGGCAGACGCGCCCAATAGATGCTTCGCACTGTGATTGGCTGAATGTTAGCTCACTCAAGTCTAAGTAAAAAATCAGAGAACACAGGCGGAAATATTGGCGCTGGGTCAAAAAAAAATGCGGGGGACAGAATCACCTGTTTCTAAAAGTGCGGGGGACGTGTCCCCCCCGTCCCCCCCGGTTGCTACGCCCCTGGGCCTATGTGATGCAGAGGACAAATTCCGAGTCACAAATACACTATAGTGTATTGAGCTGTTCAGTTTGTAGTCCTAAAATACAGAAGACAATTAGTTGTACATAGCCTATGTCTAAAAAGTTACTTTTTACAAGTCCCCACCTATACAACCAATGCCCTGTCCCAAATGGAACCCTAAGCACTCGCGGTATTCCTCTGAGTCCGCACTTTCGCGACGTAACGCCGCTTTGAATGTCGGGAAGAAGTCTGCTGTGGAGTCCGCATCAGCGTGGGCTCGGCAAAAGTGCGCATCAAGGGCGCAAATCGACCGCAGAGGGGGCGCTCGCGAGCACCCTTCTGAGATCTAAAAATGACAAATGGGACACGCTGCGGTCTCACGGACTTAACGGACACGCGCACGTGGCAGCCATTGTAAGTCCACAAGACCGAAAGTGCACATGAAGTGTGCCATTTGGGACAGGGCCCAAGAATAGCTTCCAGGTTTGGACTAACTGATGTAATGATTGAGCAGTTCGATCCACTATGGGCCACATTTACAATTTACATTTTTTCCATAACAGGTATTGAAAATTTAGATTTTTTTAAAATTGTGAATTAGGGCTGTAACAGTTAGCAATAAGTTTGGTATTTTCTTGGATAACATAATTTAGAGTTTGTTAATAATATCTTGCTGTTATTTGGATTTTTTTATACATTAGTGCGCATGTTCTTGTGTAACCATTGAAACGTATTAAAGACAGGAAATCCCTTAAATTGATTTCACTTATGGACTCCACAAGATGTATTTATTTATTTATTTATTTATTTGTCCTTCTAAATAGCTCCTGTTTTTAAACCTTTTAAAATAATAATAATATTAAATATTAATAATAGTCTAATCCGCTCCTTTTGACCATATTTGACCGTAACTTATTTAAATGCATGAAGACTTTTACTTTGAAATCGTTCCTGACTTTTACTCTGACTAAAACTATGATTGTGTAAATTATTGTTAAACTGCGAAATTGCTCGGTTTATTGCTAAGACAACCTTTAACTTGATAACAGTGTAAATCATGTACTTTTATTCCAACAGAGATAGGCGACTGTCTGTAACATAACACGAAAGTCACATGACAGCTGATGTGATCACATGACAATCAATACTAGGCTGTGAAGAATTCTTTAAAGTCGCCTGGATTTCTGACTTGATCTATGGGGTCTTTGTGAGAATGGCTGCACGGTGGCTTTTCCTTGGATTCATGTTGCTGATCCTCGGTGGAAAGGCTGAGACACGTTTATCTGTGGCAAGTTCTGATCTGCAGTTAGTTGTATGTATTTTGAAATTGTATTGTTACTGATAGGCTAGCTGGTCCAGTTGTTTTCATACAGGTCATAGACCATTCTTTGATCTGTTATTATTCCTTACTGTTCTTTGGAATTTTCTTTCTTTTAAGGACAAGCTCAATAATGAGGTCATCCCATCTCACAGAGACCTTGCTGCTGATTTCAAGGAAATGTATTTTAAACAGATTTTAGACCACTTCAATTACAACAGCTTTGGCAATGGCACATATGATCAGCGTTACCTTATTACAGGTACAGTAATCTGACACACTTTCATACTATTAGTCTTAACTGTATCTTTTTTAATTATATTCATACTGAGTGCAGTGTGTGTTTATTCTAGATCAGTACTGGAAGAAAGCCTATGGACCCATTTTTTTCTACACTGGCAATGAGGGGGACATATGGGAGTTTGCACTGAATTCAGGCTTCATCACAGAGCTGGCAGCAGTGCAGGGAGCCCTCGTGATATTTGCTGAGCACGTAAGTTTTCCTGTTCAATCATATGACCATGGAGGAAGTTAGACATTAGAAAAGTGTAGATGTCCACTTTATGCAGTCAAACAATCTACACTACTGGTCAGAAGTGTGAAATAATTCAGATTAAGATGTTTTTGAAAGAAGTCCTGTATGCTCACAGAGACTGCATTTATATATATCAAAAATACAGTTAAAAAAAAAAAACATTTATTGTGAAATATTATTACAATTTCAAATGATAAGTTTTATATTTTAATATATTTTAAAATGTAATTTATTCTTCTGACGGCTAAGGTGAATTTTTCAGCCGCCATGACTTCATTATGTCAGTGTTATATGATCCTTCAGAAATCATTGCTGATTTGGTGCTAAATTATTAGCAATTATTATCTGTGCTCAATTTTGTAGTAACCATGATAAAAAGAAATTCAGGATTCTTTGATGAAAAGAAAGTTCAATGAACAGCATTTATTTGAAACATGAATCTTTTGTAAAATTATAAATGTCTTTGCTGTCACTTTTGATCAAAATAATGTGTCCTAGCTGTATTAATTAAAATAAAAAATTATTTAAAAAAAATCTTACCACAAACCTTTGAATGGTAGTGTATCATGGTTTCCACAAAAAAAACCCACAACTGTTTTCAACTGATGATAATAATAATAGTTTCTTAAGCACCTTATCACCATACTAGAACGATTTCCGAAGGATCATGTGGCACTGAAGACTGGAGTAACGGCTGCTGAAAAGTAATGTTCAGCTTTGCCATCACAGGAATAAATTAATGTATAAAATGTATGAAGTTATTTAAAATTGTATATAAAACATTTTTACACAACATTGCTGTTTTCACTGTGTTTTTGAGTGTATGCCTGTCCATTAATGTTTACCTTTGATTTAAACACTAGAGATATTATGGAAAATCTCTTCCGTTTGGGAAGGATTCATTTAATATCCCTGAGGTGGGGCTGTTGACAGTGGAGCAGGCCCTGGCTGACTATGCGGTCATGATCACAGAGCTAAAGAAGGAACTGGGAGCTCAGACATGTCCCGTCATCGTCTTTGGTGGAAGGTGGGGGGGCCTCAGTTAGCTTTATATTTACCCATCATCCCCTGACACACACACACATAGATAGATAGATAAATATCCATATCCCAACTGGCTACATAATATTTCATTATTAAATTTTATTAAAAATCATCATAACTAATAGTAATTTTATATAATGCAATAATAATTGCTAGTAATAACATTTAGATATTAGTTGCTATGTTATTTTTATCATCCTTATTATTATCATCCGTCTGTTTTTATGTCAGCTATGGAGGAATGTTGAGCGTGTACATGAGAATCAGGTACCCGGATATTGTTGCTGGTGCGTTAGCCGCTAGCGCTCCCATCCTGTCCACCGCAGGTCTTGGAGACTCTACACAGTTTTTCCAGGATGTCACTGCTGTAAGTTCATATTAAATTCCTTTCAGGCACTTTAGCTTTAAAACATGCCTTTAAAACTATAAAACAATTTCTAAATAAAAGAGGATTTGATTTTGTATTGGAGTAATATTGATGTGTTCTGTTTGCTTGTTCAGGATTTCCAGAAGATTAACCCTGCCTGCAGAGATGCGGTGAAAGGAGCTTTCCAGAAGCTAAACACTTTGGCACAACAGAAAGGTATCCGTAGCCCTTCACTCAGGATGCTTAACCATTACACCCTGCGTTTGTTTCATTCTCTTGCTCTTTGTTCATACTCCATAGACTACAGCCGTATCCAATCTGCTTTCTCGCTGTGTAAAACTCCGTCCACCCCAAAGGACATTAATCAGCTGAACGAACTCTTACGCAACGCCTTCACCATGTTGGCCATGTTGGATTATCCCTACAGCACTCATTTCATGGGCAGCATGCCAGCCTTCCCTGTGAAGGTACTGGACTTATCACTAGCGTGAATTTTGCAAACTCCGTCAGTCACCAAATGGGAAGGGGATAGCATGAAAAATAAAAGCGTGCCACTGCAAGGCTTTAATGCAGAAAGCAAAAGCTAATGGTGTTAAACAAATGTTTCCCTGATGCCTAGAGCAAATTAAACCATTCCACCCCATCTGGTTCCATTTAAAATGGCTTATTAGTGCAGTTCCTGCAGTTGGACACACTGATGTGTCTTAAAGATAAAGTTCAGTAGTACTTTTTACTTTGACAGGTGGCGTGTGAAACCATGCTGAATGGCACTGATCTTATGTTGGCACTCAGAGATACTGTTGGTAAATGACTGCAGCTTTGCACAGATTTTGATTATATATATATATATATATATATTGTTGTTGTTGTTGTAATCCCTCTGGTCCTGACAAGGCTCTGCTTTCATTTTGTTCCTACCCCCACAGGCATTGTGTATAATTCCACTGGACTGCTCACATGTTATGACCTGTACAGTCTCTATGTGGAGTGTGCCGACCCCACCGGCTGTGGCCTTGGCTTTAACAGCTATGCGTGGGACTACCAGGTACCTAGATGAGTTCTCACTAAACCCTGAATACTAGTTTTTGGTACTTGCTGAAGGTTCACTGTAATATTAGAGCCTCGATCAATGATTAGAGAATATCATAAACGTAATTTCACATGTTTATGCTACAAATTTTCTCACAAGTCTTAAGGAAAACATTTATTTTGAGACTATAGAGTGCCTGCAGGTATGACACAATTTTGTAGGGCAACCTGGAAGTTAGCATCACCCTGGTTCCCTTGCTAAAAAGCCAATAGGATTTTTTATTTCTTTGGCTTTTGGATTACTGCATAACACAAACAAGTTTATGATTCTTACATGTTTTGTTCATCAAGATAATATTCACAAATTAATTTTGAAGTATAAACAATCCCCAGATGTAGAAAGCTAAAGTTCGACTATAAACAAACGTCACATGACTTTGTCAACACCACTAAGCTATCGCCAGTGCTTTATTTTTGGGGTGGCAGTGGCTCAGTGGTTCACAAACCGGAAGGTTGGTGGTTCAATCCCCGGTTCCACCTGACCAAGTGTCGAGATGTCCATGAGATGTCCATGAGCAAGACACCTAACCCCAGCTGTTCCAGACGAGCTGGATGGCGCCTTGCATGGCTGACACCGCCGTCGGTGTATGAATGAGTGTGTGAATGGGTGAATGTGAGGCAATATGTAAAGCGCTTTGGTGGCCATTGGGTCTGTAAAAGCGCTATATAAAATGCAGTCCATTCACCATTTACCATTCAATCTTTATTTACACGCTGCGATGACGTTTAATGCTCCACACAACCCTTTTTCCTTTAGTCCTTTTTCAAGACATTTAAAACCTTAAAAATATCTTAAAAATAGAGTGGTGGGTATTATTGATATACTTTGTCATAGAATAAAACATGAAAATATATTGTGTTTATAACCACAGACCACATTTCCGGCATTTAAACGCATTCAAAAAACCCATTGACTTCAGGACAAAGGAACTGGAAGTTCAAAATGCTAACTCATTTCCAGCTTTTAGGACTCATTTTTACAGCACTCTATTCAGTCCAAATACTTGCCTCTATGATTTTTAAAAAAACTTTTTAAAGATCTTTTTTTTTTTAAAATAAAGTTTGCAGTTCTCTCTGATGTATTGGGTTTCTTTGGAATATTCACTTGTAATCGTATATAACAATGTCTTTATATAAAAATGTTTTTTAGGCCTGCACTGAGATTGAGATGTGCTATGAGAGTAACAATGTGACAGACATGTTCCCAGCGATCACATTCACCGAGCAGCAGAGGGAACAGTACTGCTCAAAGAGATGGGGGGTGCTGCCACGGCCAGGGTGGCTCAAGACCCAGTTCTGGGGACAAAGTAAGCTAGAACTACCAAACTGTGGATAAGTGTGTTTTTCTTTAAAAAAAAAAAAAACCTCATGATTATGCATCAGGATACACTTTGCTATCCTTTTAATATTCGTTGATGTTTGCAGTGAACTGGGAGCTAACTGTTCCATCCATTTGAATTATCTCTTCTAGATCTCTCCACTGCAAGCAATATTATATTTTCCAATGGGGATCTTGATCCTTGGGCAAATGGAGGGGTGAGTTTTACTTTTAAGACTTTGTAAATGTATTATTTAAATATAAAGGTGCACCGTTTTTTTTTTTTTTTCTATTAAAAATGATCAGAATACTTAATTTCAGTAATTCCCTTGTTACACTGAGTGCACTTTTAATTCTTTGTTCTGTTTACAAGTAAATGGTATTTTGTTGCTCTTCTCTAAAACATTTAATGGAATTATTTTCACCTGTAGATCAGGAAGACACTCAGCCCATCACTGATTGCAATCAACATACCAGAGGGAGCTCATCATCTGGATTTAAGGTGCGAGTTAAACTGAAGCTATTTTCAGACTGCAGGCAAATTGGATTGTGTTTTTTTTTTGTTGTTTTTTTTTTATCAGATCTTTTCAGGCAGAATGTCTATACTGTTAATTGCAAGTAATCAACTGATATTTGTGTGTCCAGACATAACCAACCTATCTGCACGGGTTACTTTGGTAATGACTTAGGCGTACACACGTATGTGATAAGGCTTTCGAAACGGATGCAGGAAAAATGGAGGTCCATCATCTCGCTCTCCAAATAAGCGCCCTTTTTAGTGACTGTGCAGAACCCAAAGATTTCAGCCATGTCTACAGCACGGAACATCACAATATATACCAGTCTCCTTCCTCGCACATGAAAAACTCAGTGACGGAGGAGAATGGTATATATTGTAATGTACCGGCCAAAATCTTTGGACATCACCGTTTGAATACTTCCGGCATTTCCGTCACCGGTTTTGACGTTATCATAAGAGTGATGCAAAAGACCATTTGAAATCTGATTTGAGCAGCCAGAGCATCCCGACTGAGACGCATCTGTTGAAAATCTGATTGGAATCGCAATTAACTACCTCCAAATGTGGTCTGAAACAGATTAACAAATTTTTTATTTTTTTTCCAGACTTTGGACATCTGGATATGCAACAAAAACCTGACCATGCTCCCTACTTATTTATTTTATTTTTTTTCCCAGGGAGTCCAACCCTGCTGATCCCGAGTCTGTGATTGTGGCTCGTAAGAAGGAGTCTGAAATCATTGCTCAATGGGTGAAGGCAGCAAGGAAAAAAACATCATGAGTTATGTAATTTACAATTTATTTCAACATTTGTGAACTTGTAAAATATGGAATAAATCCATTTATTTTCCACAAATGGACATTAAAAAGATGTATTAGAAATATTAAATCCAGAAATATTAATTTGTCAATAAAAAAAACATTTTCATTATATACAAGCTCACTCTTGTCTAAAATCATCCTTTACAAATTGCCAGATTGAGTTGTGGTAATTCAAAGGAATATGTACAGCTGTACCACATTATTATTGCCCGTTTTAGCATATTCTTTGAAATTCATGGCACGTCTTTGGTGAATGAATGATTCAGAACTAGGTTGATTTGTCAATATCCATGAGGCAGATGATAATTTAAGACATTTGCACAACAATTGAGAGTGAGGCATGAAAAGCCCTTCATTTTAATCTGAGATACACAAGCAAGCTGTCTTCAATTTCTCTCACAATGAGAGAGAAAAAAATACCCAGAAATGGTATACAGATAGCAAGTTAATTTATCGCTTACACACTGTATTATAAATAATCACAAGTATTTATTCACAAAAAAAGAATCATAAATAGCTTCACAACAGAAATGAGATGATTAAAATAGATTGATTTCTCATAAAAACTTGATTCTCTGGATTGAAAATAGTCATTTGTCATCGTTGCTCTGTATGTAAAGGCACACGCGGAACAGAACACCACAGCACGACGTTGAGAAACCAGTCAATGTTCAGCCCTTGATGAACAGCTGTAATGTATATACTACCTAAACAAACCTCTGGATAATATTACTGTAAGATTCGGCACAGTGAGACGTAATGTTCAACCAGCTTTTCAAATACAATGACATAATACATTTGTGATCTGTGTAAACAACAGGTCTATTCTTTGATGGTCAAAAAGTTGGTAGCCCTGCATGTTATCAGTAACCTTAAGACATCCTGTACATTCTATTCCATTTAAACTCAGGCCACAAACTGATCAGCAGAGAAGAATGAATAACTTAAACATTCCATTTGTCTTCCTGCATAAAAACATTTGGAATTTTGAAGATTCTACAAAAAACAACCCCAAAAAACAAAATCCAATTGTTCACATTTCACAAAATATTCTACCAATACGGTATGTTAAAAGTTCATCATACATGTGAAAATACTACAGACACATTCTTATCTGATGTAGGTCCCGCGAAAGAGTGAGATAACGACATGTGCCATAATATATTATAGACCCTTATTTATTTTTTTGGAAAAACACAACATTGTGCTTGATTAATGCTCCATTAAAAGACTTAACCACAAAAAAAGGGACAAAACTGAATAAAAATCTAATAACAATAATAATGGTTCATATGACCACCTGCTAGCGAGTTATAACATCAAAAGGAGATTTTTAATATATAAAATGATAAACCTTCTAATTAACACCAAACATGTACATCCACATAAATGGCAATAAAATCCTTCACAGCAAGAATGGGGTTTTAGGCTCAAAACAAAAGAGAAATATTCAAATTGATGAATAACACAGATGTTAAAAAATGCTATCTGATAACTCTACACTTTACAATAAGGTTTAATTTGTTAGCATTAGTTAACTACATTAGTAAGCAAGAACTAACAATGTACAATACTTCTACAGCATTTACTGATCTTAATGTTAATATTAACTAGTGCTGTCAAACGATTAAAATATTTAATTGCGATTAATCGCATTGGCCCTCATTTATCATTCTTGCGTAGAAACGGGCGTATATGTTGGCGTAAGATTATGCTTACACTCCTCTCACCGCCTGATTTATGAAGCTGTGCGTAGCTTTGAAATCCAGGTGTACGCAATACCTGCCCTTGATAAATCCCGCGGCTGAAAACGATCGTCATTAGAATAACACGCCCCTATATATTCAAGTCTCCGCTTCCCCCACGCCCTCATTTTACACCATGGACACACGGAAGACGGCACAGAAGAGAAACTTCTCTGACGTGGAGCCGAAATGTCTCATCACAATGCAATATTTTACAGCACGTCTTTTGAATTAGCATTCAATTTCGAATCACGTTACATGTATTGGGGTGTACAATAGTGATGATGATGATGTGATGTGGAGTACCATTCATTCACATTAATAATTGCATGACAATTTGTAATATTCTTCTTATTATTAGTATGATTTGTATTATTAATGACGCTTATTGTTATTTAGAACAAGAATGTCATTATTATTATTTGTATTATTATTATTTAAAAGAAGAAGAATGTATTTTTTATTATTTTGTCAGTCTGAATTAATTTTTGGTCATTGAAAGCCTTTCGTTACCGAACCCAGTCCGTGCGCACCTGCCGGGCCTAACCCTGAAACGTCAGGGTAAAGCGCACAGGCTCGCAACTGAAGGAATAGGCCTACATATGCTTACAAATCAAATGCGTTGGTAAAGTCACACAAATTAAACATTGAAGTCCATGTTGCACAAAAATAAACACTGAAGTTTATAATTACTATGTTGTTGTTTTTTTGTTTTACAGTGGGTCATAATATATAATATCTTTTAGTTTGTCAGTGCGTTTTGTGGTGTTAGGAATTGTTTTTCTGCGCATTTCCGCACTAACTCAAAACGTGCGTACACCACCTCCTGAGCTGGCGTAGGATTTGAGCGTGCCGTACGCCAACGTCCATATTGATAAATCTCAAAGTCACCGTGGTTTTGGGTGTACGCTGGAAATTTGGTGTACACACTTATGATAAATGAGGGCCATTGTGTGTGCTTGGCCATCAAGTGGTGTTTCAGACTGGGCGTGCTGCGATGATGATAGCTCAGTTCACAACGACAAAACACACAGATCACTTTGGTCTTGTCAATGGAACCATTTGGCAACTTTTTAAAAGTAAACTTTCCATTCAGAATCTTATTGGCATCCATTTCGGCGTCTCGCGCTCGTCATCCACTCAAAACGTAACGTTAACCTACTATTTGGCCAGCTCGCAAGCCCAAACAAGTGTGTGCGGCGTGCCTGTTGTTTAGTTTCCGGTCTAGCTAGATCTGCTTGCGCTTTGGTCGACGAAGCAACAAAACGTCCTCGCCGCGTCCTGTTGCAAAAGCATGTGAAAAAAACTGCAAAGTTTGCTAGGCCAAAAAGACAAAAAAAATTACGCCGTTAATAACGCGTTTAACTGACAGCCCTAATATTAACATAATTTTTTTAAGATAAAAAGTTGTATCTGTTAATATATTAGTTCATGCACAGTGAACTAACGTGAACATGTACATTTTTATTAACTAACTAACAAAAGATAATAAATGCTGCAAAAATGTATTGTTCATTGTTAGTTCATGTTAGTTACTGCTTTAAATAATGTTAACAAATGAGACCTTATTGTAAAGTGTAACCACATATTCCAAATGCTCTGGAAAACAAATAAAACCATGGAAATAATTATGATGCAAAGAAAAACAAATTTACAAAGCTAAATAGACTCCCTAAGAAAGACTCCCCACAACAAAAACAGCAGTGGTTCCTTCATTAAACGAAAATATACACACACACTAAAACCCCCAAAACACACCATAAAGTGCTTGCAGTCCCCATAAGGTTTCACAGTATGAATGTTTTTTTTGTTTGTCTGTGTGCTTGGGCTGAGAGACTGAGCATATTGATTCAGTGGGCTAACTAAGCAGCCCAGCTGATCAAAGTATCATAGAAGCATAAATAGAGAAACTCTATTAATAGAAACATACAGATCACTAGTAAACTCAGAAACTATGCACCTACAAACAAATTTTTGTCATGGCTCTAATTATTTCACCAGAAAGTGACTTGCAATTACAAAAGAAAAGAGTTCCTAGTGTAGAAAAAGACGGCAGTTTGGATATCAAATGTGTTCACGGCCCTGAGAGAGGTGTGTTTGGTTACGCACGTGTGCTTGTGGGTCCATCACTCTGCTTGTGGCCATATGGGCAGAGGATGGGCCTCAGTGTTGAAGACGTACTTGTCTAAGCTGATAAGGTCGGGGTCCTCAGAAAACAGCAGGTAGAAGTACTTGAGCGTCTCACCCAGGAAGAAGCTCTCCATCTTGTCTCGAGGGCTAGGATAGGCCGGGTCACAGACATTGTTTATGGATGTATAACCTCCAGTGGGAACCTGTGGGGAGAGGGACACATGAGTCAGAACAGAGTTGTTTGCTAACATCCTTGTAAACTGTTGATATGAACTGAATGCTGAATGTGAAGTTCAGAAATGCAGAGAGAGAAAGTGGAAGTACATTTGGAAAAGGAGCAAGGCAATGTTTGTATAAACCAAGCCAAATATGAGAAGCCAAGTAGCAATATATCTGACATATGAAAGTCAGACCTGAGCCAATAATATCACACTTTCATTCTGACATAGCACCAAGGTTTGGCTTTGAGCCAGTATGAAAAATAATCTTAAGACATTTTCTGACCAATAACTTTCCATGGTTTTTCATGATGAATGGATAAGGATGTTTAAGTACATTTTCTATGACCTTTTGAGATTTTATTTATTTCAATGAATTTTCCTGAAAAAAAAAAATCACTTCTAAAATTACTTGATATTTCTTTTACAGTTCTGTTACTCACTAGAATTATGCACTTTTCTGATAACGTGCATACTAAGTACAGGGACAAACTGCCACATCATAAAACTGCATCTTTATACTAAAAACCCCTCTGTTGCATTTGCATATACACTACACTTTAAAAGTGTAGCTTATTTTTCAAATAAGTCTCTTATTCACACCAAGGCTGCACTTATTTGATCAAAAATACAGAAAAAAATAGTAATATTGTGAAATACTATTGCAATAAAAAAATTCAAAAGAACAGCAATTATTTTAAATATCTTTTTTAATATTATAAAATGTTTTTACTGTCAATTTTGATAAATGTAATGCATCCTTGCTGAATAAAAGTATTAATTTCTTTTTTAAAAACTACTTAACTTTTGAACAGTAAACAATTAACATAACTACATTTCTTAACATACAATCACTAGCTAATTGTATTACCCTACACATACATATAAAACCTGCTGTAATAGTTGAAAAACTTCAACTGAGCAATGGGTTGTGGGCAATATTATCTGAAAAGAATTGAGAGGCACACACTTCAAAAATCCACCAGAAACAGTACAGCGTCTGGACACCTTTGGCAAACTATTTTCTATGAGTTAATTTACATTATTTTTGAATCTCGCATACTATTTAGAATGGAAAACATGTAAATTTGGACGCATCTTCCTTCCACTATTTTGCATGTTCTAAAAACACCTCAAGGTAACAGTGGAGCAGTTTCTCACTCTCTCACATACCCTTGTGTACTTATTGAAGTTCTGTAGGATCTCCCAGCCCCACTGCTGGTACTTCTTATCCTGGGTGAATCTGTACAAGTAGAACAGGCTTTCCACGGTCTCTGGCCGCAGAAGGTTGTGCCGGTCAGCAATCTGCAAGATATTACAAAATCACAAAGACTGTTTCATTTCACATACTCAAACAAAGTATGTATAATACTAATACTAATAAACTATACTACCGAGAGTAGTGAAAACTTAAAGCTCTTCGTCAGCTCACCTTTACATCTACATCCTTTGTGCTCCCCTCATGCATGTTGAAATGAACTATCTCCGGGCTCAGACCCGTCTCCATCTGGGCATACATCTGGTAGCAGGTCTCCATCAGCTGTTTTGCCAGCTCCATATGATCAGCAGGAAGGCCGTAATGTGCCCCCAGTGCCAGTGTGCCAGGCAAGAAACATACCAAATGGTCCTAAAAGAAACAAGACAGGAGAAAAAAGGGGCTAGATGAGCTATTTGACTCTTCTGAACTTGAAGGTCTTGTTATTCTTCGAGAACAAACATACCATTTTGGGACTGAAGTGTCCATGGGACAACTCTCCTACAAATGTAAGGCCTTGAGGAATAGACTTGTTCAGCAGGTTCTTCTTCACCCCTTCCACGGCCAGCAGGTAGTCATCTAGCAATCTGAACACATGGGAACACAAACTAATTTTAATAATTAAAAAAGCTACAGCAATACATATATATATGGTTTATTGCATGCAAATCATTTCTTCCAGTTTAACACGTACAAAAATATTTTTTTCATAAGAGAAGTCTTAAATTAGTTAAAGTCTTAAATGAACGTAAAGAGTTGTGAGAAAATGAGATGTGTGTGAGATTCGTGTCATGTGCAGCAGCTCCAGATTTTAAAGTGACAGCAGCCACTAATGCTGTCTGTCATTAATGTTAATCAAAGAACAAAGGGAACAGAGACAGCTCTTGACTAAAGAACTTTTGTAGGACTTTTAATAAGGATTAATCTATATTTAATTAATAATTTATGCAGTTCAGACTGTTTGATAACTTTATTTAATTTCTGTTTATTTCCTACCTGTTAGACAGGAAGGGCAAAGGTAAATATGACATTTATTATGGGTTTATGTGAGGATTGTTTGAAGTTCACTTAAATTAAAAGTTGTTATATTTTTTGAAGCCTAATAAATGTTAATTGATAGCTTTTAATTACACTGTAATGTTGAATGGCTATAATTAATGTTTAAAAATGGGGGTGGAGGGGCGTCCTTTTCATCAAGACATCAGTAGCAGTATTAGTATCAGTGATACTGGCCTTCATTCATAAAAAGATGCCATTAAACAGGTATTTAAAATATACTGTCTTTGTGTTGTTTCTACATTCGGAGATTAACTGGAATTATTACATTATAAAATATGTTAAAAACGTAAGTTTTTAATTGCAATTAATCACAGAAAAAAATTGTAATTAATTAATTGTATTGATTGACAGCACTAATATACATATACATATATATTAGTGCTGGGCAACGATTAAAATTTTTAATCGCGATTAATCGCATGAATTTATTGCGATTAATCGCATTGTTACGCGCAAGAGTGAATAATGAATTCTAAAGTAGTGTATTGCGCACTTTTGATTTAAATGTACTGCTATATACACAAAAGTGCAATAACATGTGGTTTGCCAAAACTTTAAACAAATAAGCTGCTTTATACCAGCAGTATTCCCTTTACACAGTAGCAATAAAATTATTATTATTATTTCCTTTATTTTAACCAGGAGAATCACATTGAGATATTGCTATCTCTTCTTCCAGAGAGACCTGGTCAGATATTTATTGTAAATCTCAACTTAAACATTAATGTAATCAAATCAAATATTAAAACAAAGCTATGCCACTGCCAGGGCATTACCTTGTATCTAGCTTGTTAAAACGAGTCCAGTTTTCTTGTTTTTTTTCTGAACAGGTATCAACAGGTATCTTTTATCAGGGAGCAGCAGAAACAGTCATGACCACTACAGATATAAGTCGACCAACGTTACTTCTCTGATAGTAGCTTAGGTTTGGTCATGACATGGTTTCCCACGTACACTAGATTACATTAAACAGATGTAAAGCCCAATTTATACTTCTGCGTCGAACTCACGGCATAGCTACGTACCCGCTGTGTGTAGTGCGCGTACCCTGACGTGCACCTCTCCAAAAATGTAACAATGCGTCAATTATACGCGTACCGCAAGCGCTGTGATTGCTAGAACCGACAAGCTAGTGCGACAAGCGAGTGTGTTCCTGTGAAACTGTTGCGGTCATGCTCGCCTCACGCACGCGCCCGTGCCCTCCCGTTGCCGAAGTTGAATTGACGACGCGCAGCACAAATCATTGGAAGAGAGACTGATCCTCGGCTCGCTTTTTGTGAGTTTCCACAATCTAAATAGTTATCAGGACGTCATCAACAGAAGGGAATTCACATGGCAGCGCATCTCCACTAAACTAAACGCAGGCCTATCAGGTAAAGTTATGTATAATTTTAATTTAAGTTAAAAAGGCTACAGCTGCGTAGCGCACAGAAGCCATTGCCATGGTTACTATCCATAGAGCACCTGTCATTCACTCGCGGAGCGCTGTCTCCCTTTCTGTTCACCTGAGATAACCTGCCAAAGCCCCTCCACTGCTTGTTTGGGTCGGTTATTTGCTGGCTGACCAACATCCCACCCCTCCTGTGATCCATGGTTTGACTGTAGGCCTATGTGTATTCAGAGCCAGTGAGCAACGGACTTTCAAAATAATAATTAAAAAAACTGCGTTAACAAAATTGTCGGCATTAATTAATAAATGCGTTAACGCGATAACGCGTTAACTTGCCCAGCCCTAATATATATATATATATATATATATATATATATATATATATATATATATAAATAGACTGTCATCATTTCACAGCCAAAATTCTGGTATTGACCCAACCCCATAAGGAATAAACTATAACGTCCAAAGACCCTCGACTCACTCGTTCTCTGTCTTGCCTCCCTGTATCCACTGCTTCAGCAAATACTCATAGTAGCTGTCAGCCCTGGCGCCCAGCGTGTAAATGCCCTGATGGGTGAACAGCCCATTGTTGGTATTTATAAACATCGGCACCAGCCCATCTTGCTTTCCGTCCAGTTTATGCACCTGCTGCATCACCTCCATCACAGCAAGCTACAGAAAGAAAGCCATGGATGATAAGTAACCACCTGTTCTAATGAGAACCTGTTCTTAACTTTGAAAGACTATCCATCCACCTTGTATTTGGTGTCTCCAGTGAGTCGGCTGAGCTCTCTGAACTCCAGCTGGATGCTAGTGACCTCAGCTACGGTGCTGTCTGAAGTCCATCGCGGAGGATGAGCCGTTCCCTTCCCAATATTCACATCCGAATAGGGGATTTTAGAGGCAGTGTTGAAGGCGGGCATCAGCCTGGAGCCAATATCTTTCTGAAAAATTATTAACAAGATAAAAATTGCATCCAATCACCAGAACATAGTAACAGGAAGAAGAGATGTTTTGGGCTACCGGGGGTGGGGGTTTACTTCTTACTCACAGCTTTATCCAGGAACATGAGGTCTCCGGTCAGATGGTAAGTACTTAGAAGGCCCCCCAGGATACGAATGGTGCTCTCGAAAAGATTAACATCCACGTTTTTATCGAAGGAGAGCTCTTTGGCCACCCACTCCCTTGCCTCTGCAAACTCTGTCAAAAACATTTATGTAAATTAAGTAAGCCACATCACATACACAGTAAACAACTTCAGGGTACATCATAAAATGAGTAGGTTAAGTGTATTTTTTTTCCAATGTATGTCAATGTCTTCATTTTAAGATGGGATAAGAAAAAAATGCATTCACATGTAGCTATTATACGCTGATTTCACGCAGCCGCCATTTTGAAATCGAAAGCGAGGCTCCGGTGGGAAGAACCCCGGAAGTACAGATAGACAACAATGCCTTGGACTACCAACCTGAAGCTGCTACCGCGATTTACACTATTGGATGTTAATATCCAATATAGGATATGTGTATAGTTCGTTCCTGCTTCTTTTTTTACGTTCTGAATTATATATAAAACATTTTTTTATTATTTATAAATGAATTTCACTGTATATAGTCTAAAGTATGAAATTTCTACATTAAACACAAAAATACGCCATCGCATTCGCGACTCTCCTATGGTTAAAGGCGACACTTCCGGTTATCTTCCCACCAGAGCCATTTCAAAATGCCGGCTGCGTGAAATCAGCGTATTAAAGCTACAATATGTAATTATTTTCGCCGGTAGGGGTTGCTTGCTAACCTCTTACAATAACAAGAGCGTAGATTGATGATGCAGTGATAAGCGTAATCATGGAACTTGTCGTCATGCCGATTGATCTAATATTGTTTATGGATGAGTGAAAAAATGTATGTTTTTTAACATGACTGTGTTATGAAGCTGGGCGCGATTGCTAATGAGTGACAGATATCAGCGCCACACGCGAGTCCCGTGGATATAAAGGAATAAGGACATTTAATTCTACCGAACTACCCGCAAGTGCTGAATTACTACTCACAAAGGTCAGTTTATTTGACGAATTAAACTTGTGAGGTAACGCAGCGCTGTTTCACTTGGTCTATCACACTAAACTGCATTTGAGTGTGTTGAAAGTTATAATGTTATTTTATGTGTTAGTTTGTTGGCTATATCAGACTTGCAGTAAGCTAGCTAGCAACATTAGAATAACATACTGATCATATTCTAACATTTCATCATGTTGAGCTATATAACATTGATTCGTTTTATGTACATTTGCTCTCCTGTCTAATAAAGTACATGCAAGAGCGGCGTCTCTCTGTCAAGTCGTGAGGCTTTGTCAAGTCCAAATTTGTTGTGGAGCTCTCAGCATCTCGAAAACGCCACGCCGATATTGATCCTTGTTTTATTTCTACTTTTGTCCCAAAGTCTGCTTGCCATGGTCCATAATGTTTGAACGAAACAACAGCAGCGTGAGTGTGCTGCTAGACCTAACGCAGTTGTCCACGTCTGTCGCCATGGTTACTATGGCAGTACAAGCGGAAACCAGGGATAACGCGGATATTATGTCAGTGACAGGCGACAAGTGACCTTCAACTATTTAAAATTGTGAATTTCTCTGAATTTACAAATTCTTGGAAACATTTAGGATAATGTAATTACACAATTGAAATAAATAAATAACACTGTGCAAGTGGTTTTTGGATATTTTGATACAAAATTCTAACATATTGTACCTTTAAGTCAGTTGGTTGATTTCCTCAAAAAAAGTGTAAAAACTGTGTCTCTGTTACGCTATCAGAGAATCCCTTTACACACTATCACATTCACATTACAGACATACGTGTACAGCGCAAGAGCTTGTTTTAGACAAGTCAATACCGAACAGGACCACATTGAGATGCCAAAAAAACAAACCAAACACCTTGACCTGACTGCATATATTACCTACTACAGTACACGGATCCATTCATAATTACTAAACACATCAACATACACATGACATGATGAAAAATCAAAGCATTATCCTGAATGTGTGTGGAAACAACGTTAATGTACTGAAATTTGTCTGTGCATAAATACATTGTGCTATCAGTGCATCAAGAGTGCACATGCACGGTTTGTCTGCGCATAAATATAATGGACTCACGTCACGAGTACTTACTGTACGACTCCTGTATGTCACTACAATCGTCTCTACCTTAATTGCAATCCTCATCCATCAAAACGTTACTAGCAAGACACTGGTTTGCTTTATCCAATCGAGAAACGTAGTTTACGTATCATCTGGCCATACAGCAGTGGGATATTTTGACGTTCCGTCTGTATTTCACACAGCGCGATGTGTGAGGGCTCACGCTCTTTAGAAACAATCACAGAATTCGACAGAGCTAATGTTTTAAAGTGAAACAACCTGGAATGAATAATTCACTGAAAACGTAAAGTGAGTCTCTATTCTCTCTGCCATCTCTAATGTATTCAGCCTGGTTTTCTATACATTAGTGCTGTTTTGGACTGATTGTTTTTTGAATGAATTCGCTTACTGGATCATTGTGATAAACTCCTGACTTCTAAGATCATCTAACCGTGTGACGTAAATTACATTAATGATGCAATTTCACGTGCTTAAGTAATTTATTTGCGTTAAATTATTTTAAGACATCAAGAAATATTAATCACATACGTTAAAGCGTTAGGGCTGACAGCCCTAATATATACAGTAAGATTTATTTATTTATTTAATGCCTTTTGACTTGGACTGGATTTTTTCCAGTTCATGCCACAAGGCATTTTGGATCTTGAGAAAAGGAGACAGAAAAAAAAAAAAGTTCTGTGTGGGCTTCTGTAATGTATTTTCGCTAGCAAGCTAAATTACCCTCTTTGAGACCCAAGATCCACATGGTGTCCAGAGCATCAATTAGGGTCAGACCAAGTCCAAACCACTCTCCATATGATTTAGAGATGGGTTTGAGCTCATCATGACCCCAAGCAAAGTCCTTGTAGCCCTTCCAGGCATGTCTAAAAGCTTCTCTCACAGCCTCCAGCCTGCTCTCAGCTGAAAGCAACAAAAACACAGGAAACAGCTGCTTCAGTGCAATCCAGAAAAAGAAACAAATTAATTCAGGCAGATCAGCTACATAAAATGTGTTTATATTTAAAAAAGTATTAATAGATTTAGCAACTGGCTCTTTTCCTGTTCAATATCAAAGGAAAAAAATGTAGTTGACAAAATAACAAACCACGTGCTAATGATGCTGGGCCGTCTTGGTTTTCTGTGTCTTTGGTGTCAGTATCAGAGGCCTGTTCTTTTTCTATCACAGCTGCACGCCAACTACAATCATGTAAGAAATAAATAATAATGATAATATTAAACAAACCACAGGAATATCTAGTCCTCTATACTCAGACAAAATGCACACGCTGTTGTGTTTCAGTACAGTTGACATTTAAAATCAAACCTAATGATCGGCTTTCCTCCCTCCGATCCTTTATCTGCATTCTTTAGGTCCGGTCCATTATTTTCTTCTCCCAACAGAGCTGAAACATTCGTTTTGAGTTGCAAACGGTTCTGCAAGAAAGGAGGTCCACGTCTACGGTAGTCCTTTCTCTGTGTTTCAGGAGGAAAACATAGGTTACAGCCACAAAATGCAAAAAGCAGCACAAAGCACAGCCTGTAACCTTGAGTTATCGGGTTACTCATAAAACGAGGGCATCCAAAAAGCAAGCAAGAAACAAAATGGGTCACACTAACCTCAGAGGGCGGCTCAGGAAGAATGGACCTGTACTCATTTTTCAGGTCAACAACAAATTGCGGTTTCCCATCGTTCCTGTTCCCCCCAACTGTATCACCTGAGAAACATGAACACAGAGGAGGTATAATAAGCTTCTGAATCAAACCTCGATAGAGATATTAGGTTGGGATGAAATGGAAATTCAGTTTTGTAAATGCATGTTATAGATCTTATTGTGAACGACTCATCCATGCATGTTTCATTTTTTTTAATCAAAATGTCAAAACTGGATCTTCCGGTGAAACGTCAGACTTCTCTCTGGTGACATATTCCGGTTTCCTCCAATCATTAAGTTCACTTAAGCCCCATCCCTTTCTTACAACCTACTGCAAAGCTTGCATTCAGATCGGCCTCCATTCAATCAACAACTGATGGATAGAAGCAAGTCCCTGCCCTAAATCTTTTTTCTTTCCCATAATCTGTTGTTTTGCTTGGATGTACATCACAATATGGAAGAAAAGATCTGTCTCTACTTCTGTTACATTGCAATTTTAAAGGGTTCAAAGCATACAATTTAACAAGACAAATTGTGGGGGTTAGTGGCTCACCTCTCCAGTGTTCTATGAGAGTGGGAGATGTGGCGATTCCACAAACCAGCAACAGCATCAATGTAAGCAGAATCAGGCTGCGCTGCAATCTGGACAGCTGTTTCCATTTCTGGACAAACAGCCAAGGTGATCGTAGAATCATCAGATCTTTGCAATCAAATGCTACTAAACAAAGACAATACACTACACAGATGGACTTCGAAGCTACTAATAGATAAAACCATCATGTAAATAAATAAATGACTTGAAGGTTCAACTCACCCTCCAGCAGGACTGCCGGCGCCACTGCTTGCTGTTGGTGTAGCTGCCGCTTTCACTGAGAGTCAGAGATACAAAATCCCTTCTTGATGGTGAAAGCATGATTCCCTGTCTCTCTCCAGACTGTTCATAAACTCAGTGGCCAGGTCTCTGTGTACAGAGAGAGAAAACAAGCTTTCTCAAAACCAAGAAAGCTGCCTACCTGTACAATATCTCTGGGTTGACTATAACGTTTAAAAGTGCTGTCTACATAGGCAGTTCACTAAGTGTTGAGACTCAGTCCGTGCTGACAGTAGCTGCGTGGGCAGCAGACTGGCACATACAGTACTGATGACACAGAAAAACGTTTATAACGTTTACATTTGACACTTTACAGACGTCGATGGCATAAATAAATTATGATGCATTTTGATTAACATAAAATATTTATATTTAATTTACGGAAGAAGTCTAAAACTGCTTCATATCATCAGCTGATGAGACCCTGTTAACAATTGACATCAAAAGACAAACATTGTCCAACCAATCTAATTATCTAACTACACATTATAATAAAAATATCTAACAATATTATAATAAAAATAATAAACAAACAGAAACGGGTAGCACATTTTAATCATTGACTGATTGATTCTATATATTCCACAACCACTTCGAGGACGTTTGATTCGTTCAAAAGAACCGACTCATAAGAGACATTCGTTCTCATATCATCCTCGAGCGAATAAATAGTTCAGAAAACAAAGTCAGAGTATTTCAGAACGGTATTTCCACCACAGAGGCAAAATACCATAAATATAAATTAGTTTGAATCGAGGAACTGTTATTTAGAACCGGTTCTCGGCAGCCAGAGGAGCCAACTGTCAGACAACGCTTTCTCACTGACTAAAACCTGACTTAAAATTATGTCTGGTCTAAATAACCCCTAAAACTATTTATATTTTCTTTAGAACAAAAACAGTCCAGTATCTCGATTTAGTAATACAATAAATCTCACACTTGGCTACATTTCTCTGACTTATGTGGGCTTAAGCGCAGACATCAGACAAACTCGTTCACCTCTCTTCCTGAAGTATGTCGAGGCTCCAGCTGTGTGGAGCGGAGCTCTGGTCGGCTCAGGATCTCACGACGGTCCGAGGCATCACTGAAGGGCCTAGAGCTCACCGGCGATCAGTCACACTGACAAAAATCTAATTCTGTGGCGAATACCATGCGACTTTCGAAAGACACGTTTAAAAACCGTGAAGGATTAACTGGATGATATTGCAGCCATTTTCTTAGCTGATGTTTCAAGTGATTTCCTGGAGACGAATACACATCCAGTTGTAAGGAGGCGTGTTGAACTGTACACACACTAGTAGCAACTTGTAGCTTTTCCAAATAATCCCCCAGAGGGCGCCAAACATAGAAACCTAATTAATACTCATTTTGGGATTAATTTATTATTTACCACCACACAAGCCTACAGGTTTATACACTTCACTGAAATGGTCACTGGAGTTTAGTGAATGAACATAAATGAATGTATTTTGATAAAATAAATGCAGCCTTGCACTTAAAAGAAATCTTAAAGATAACACAAAAAAAAATTAATTGGTAGTGTATAATATAATTAACTCATATTTTTATATTTAGCCGTCCATATATGTGTGTTTTTATCTTAGTTTTACTTTAGTAAAGTTGTATTTGCAAAACATTTTACATTAGCAGTCTAATTCAGTAAATGCAGAAATCAGTACATTTGAATGAGCCAGACCAGTCCTGCAGAAATTGATATACACTTCCCTTCTGTATACGTTCATAAATACAGTTATTATAATTCAAGCTGAATGCACCCTAAATTCATAAAGGAATCCGGAGAAAAAATCCTCCAGGACTTGTTTATACCACCTTTTTTTTTACATACTCAACAATAATAATAAAAAACCACTCATTTGAATAAAATCAGTTTGTTATTAAAACAGATTGCAATGTGTTACTTTACAATGACCTAAATCGTCGTTTTTTATGGGACTGTTTTTGTACTTTGCACACAAGAACAACTGACACTTATTTAATAATGGTCATCATAATTTGTTGATTGAGATATAACAAATTCCCCCATAAACAAAAGGCTCACAGCAACTGTCTGGCAGCTTTGTAGGAAGTAATTCATGTTATTAGACTTCACAAGCAGTGCCTGATATACGTTTGAGGCACATTGTATAAATAGTTCCAGATTTGAGTGCCACATACACATGACCAATAGTGACAACACAGGTTGGTGTTATAAGTGTCAAACAAACTTTTGGCCATGCAGTGTATATCACAGTGCTCTTTGTCATAAGGTGCAACAAAACCTGAATTAAAGTTTTTTCTTTTAAGAAATCATGGTTTGTGGAAGTGAATGTGACAAGAGTAACATCAATACGTCATATAAATAATCAGTTATTTAACAGAAAAAAAGCATTGCAAACAATATACAACAATATTTTACAACTCCTCATGAGAAGCTGTGCACCAGATTACTGTTGCCAACAAACAACAAACCAGTTCATTGTACTGAAGGTACACTGTAAACTGAAGGTGAAAACTTCATTAGGAACCTCCATTCCCACAGCAGATGGAGACCAGTAGAGTAAAGAAAGTCCTGATTTCCTCAGCCGAGAGCTACTCAGTAAGAGCTCTGCAGAACAGCCCTCAAATGAGAGATTGTTTATGTTTTAGCTGAAGCAGATGTGTCCTACAGTAAACTGAAACTCTTCTGTTGTGTCGCTGTGGCCAAATAAAGCCACATCTCTAATTGGTAAAAGCTCCAGGTCTTCGGTCTCAAACTGGAACACAGACTCCCGAGGGCCTGTATCCAGCGCCTCTGTATGCTAAACAGACAGAAAGGGGACATAGTAAATTAAAGTGAACAGCAATGCAATCCATGATAACTTAGTTACAGTTGTCTTACTTCACAATCCAGTAATGTTCCCAAGAAGCTCTGTCTTCTTGAGTCGGCAAGGAACTTAATCTCTCTTTCATTGGACCCCTGGTGGGTGTTTGGCTGGCATGAAAATGTGATGTTCTGCTTCGCAATCTTGCTGTTCAGTCGTAGGAATCTCATTTGTACCACACCAGTTTCCGTGTAATCAAACTATAAAGTAAAGATTTACTCAGGGGCGGGACATGATGGCAGGAGGATATTCTGGTTATTGGTTCTAATCAAGTAACATACCTGAAAGCCACCATCTACAGTGCTCAACCATGTAAATGAGTCCGACATGGCATCTTTGAGCCAGGATCTCATGGGTATCTAAAGCAGAGAGGTGTCTCATTATCAGCCTAATATGAATTAAACAAAATTAAACTGGTCATTTAAGATTAAATGGTAGGGTAGGCAACCCCAAAATCAATACATTTTGTTATACTGGTTGAAACTGTCTTCACATCCTGATAGCAATCAGTGGTCTAAATATGTACATATAGCTTCTGAAGAAGTCACAGGAATATGATATGATGTCCTACCAGCCCGTCAATGTATTTCCATACCTCTGCGCACCCTGCTCGCGCAAGACATCACACGTCACTAGTGCGTTCCGCAAGGCTATGCAGAGTTGTAGACAGACAGTCACCGAGCGCCACAAACAAACAGCAGCCATCTTTTACAGTTCCTCCTGAATGAAACAACGAACTTATGCTGCGTTCACACCATGTCGTAACCGTAATTACTCAGACTCGGATTTATGCGTTTCTATCATAGACAGTATAAGAAGTGGACAGAGCCATCTCATTGGAACTCAGTTGAGACAGTTGAAGCCCATTTTTAGCGATTTTTGAGCACTTCCGTTCCTGACGCGCAGACTCAAACCGACTCAAACTAAGCTGGATGACGTGAGCAACCTGTCTGACAGACGTTAATCTTCTAGTAGCTGTGCGTGAAAATTGCCAACGTTAATCTTGCAGAGACGGGGAACTTGAGCAAAGAGTTCTTTGGCGTGAGTGAGCAGGAGTAAGTATTCCGTTGCTTTTATGGACTCATTATCTATGGGCTTCTCCCTTGACGGGACGTCCCCCCGATTGCCTGCGAGCTTCTCCTCCTGTCTGTACGGTAATTTCTGTACAGCGCGACAGAGAGTCGAGTGGTTATGACGCAATCGTTAGCCTATTTTTACAAAATCTGTTTCTACGGGGCCATAATGTAACATAGAAGGTAATGGAGCCCTTTATACATTGTCGTGTTTCTTTAGAAATAAATAATGGACAAATGGATTCTTTAAACGCCTCAGATGTAAAGTTATTCGCTGTCAAAGTGACGCCAAAATGAATGGGAGTCAATGGAAATGCTAACGCAAGTGAAGTTCTGCTACAACATGGCGGCACCCGGCCGGCTTCAACTTCCGGTCGATGGATTACCCCCTTGGTTTCTATGTCAACACCGAAATGAATCTGCAGCATTCAGGTGGTTCAAGTAAGAGCTCTGTTTACGTTAATTATTATTGTAATGTTATGTGCTTTGAGACATGAGGTAATTTAACGCCGTCTCTCATCTCATGCAATTTGCAGGTGCTGTGTTCATGTGTTTTGAAGGAGGAGAGGCTTTGGAGAGCGATCTTAAGGGAGAGTGGGATCTTATGCATTGAAGGCTAGCTTGCTATTGTTAGCCTGTCTGAAATTGCCTACCCTACCTTTAATGTGGGGTCATAAAAATAAAAAAAAAGTTTTATTCAGCAAGGATGCATTAAATTGATCAAAAGTGACAAGACATTTTATATTCATCGAATGCTGATGAAAATTGTAACTTTACCTGTGGCTGCAGGGGTGACAAACATGTTTGTCCACCTGCACTGAAATTGCAATATACTAGCAAAGCATCAGCAGTACTGCCCTGATTTGGGTCGATATAATACATTCCTGAGACAAGAACAGTCAAATAAAAATCATTAACAATAAGTACCATAAGTATCCATGTCTACAGACTAACAAAAACATTCGTGAGAATGACCCTGACCACTTGTTAAGTTAGGATAACTGAGCATCAGCTCCAAGCAGGTGGTGGCCGGATGTTGCTTAGTGCCGTCTGGAGGATCTATGAAGAATCGCAGGTCTTGCTGAAGGGAGTCCAGTAAGCTCCTAATAAGTGGATAGTTGGGCTTGTCGGAGAGGTACATTAGGGCCTGATTTGTGAGAAAAATAGTGTCACATTACAATTAAGTTTAAACCTGTGTAATTATGCATGTGATATGATGAATCATATGATAAATCATCTGCTACTTACTTTTATCTGAGTCAGTGTAAGGTTTAGAGATAAGCCCGGTGGACCTGGAAGACCTGGTGGGCCCTAAAATAAACAGCACTATTATAGTTACTACATCACAGGCATTAATGAAATGTTTTACATATATCACTCAGATAATGTAAATGAGTACTGTCAAACTCACAGGAGTTCCTTTCTCTCCTTTTGGACCAGTAAGTCCTGGATATCCTTTTAAACCCTGAACAAGTTGAATAAAACACATTTCATCATCAACAAATATTAATTGCAAAAGTGAACTAGATAAGAGAACAATTTGTATTAAATTAATGTCTGTATTTAAATATTTGTTCCAAACCTTTACTCCAAACAGGCCCTGTAGAGGGAGCAAATGGACATACAGTAGTGAAATCTTATCTTGAGTATCATGAGTGCATGAAATGCTACGGGATTTTTAAAAATAAATCATTTTTGTAATTTTTCAAAGATTTACTTTGTTCTAAATGTACACTACCGTTCAAAAGCTTAGGATTAGTACGATTTTTTTTAACATATTTATTTGGTAAGGACACATTCACTTGATTTTGATTCTTGACATTTACACTCTTACAAAAGATTTTCATTTCAAACAAATGTTGTTCTTTTGAACTTTCTATTCATCAAAGAATTCTGAAAAATTGTTTCCTGTTGTAACAAAAATATTAAGCAGCACAACTGTTTTCAACATTTATAAAAAATAATAAAAAATAAATAAATAAAACTTTTCTTGAGCAGCAAATCAACATATTAGAATGTTTTCTGAAAGATCATGTGACACTAAAGACTGGAATAATGGCGACTTAAAATTCAGCTCTGCCAACACAGTAATAAATTACCATTTAAAATAGAACACAGTTATTTTAATATTTCACAATGTTACAGCTTTTACTGATTTTTTGATCTTGTAAGCATTAGAGACTTTTTTCAAAAACATTAAAAAAAACCTTACTCCAAACTTTTGAACAGAAGAGTAAAAAATAGGACAATTTAAAACACCAATGCGATATTTTGGAATTTAGGGAATTATGAATTATTTGAGAATAATATTTTGTGCAAACCTGTGCAGCATTTAAAAAAATCTAAATCAAATCCTGAAAAAGATGCTAACTTACA